GGACGCGGAGGCTGCAGGGCCGCCCCCTCTGGCCGCTTCCACGTGACCACAGTGAGCGGGTCTCCCACGCCCACCCCGCCCACCCGCGATGGACGTGTCGCACGAGCCAGAAATCAACCCGTGTTGGTTGAGCCTCTGAGATTTGGAGGTGGTTCCTTTCTGCACCGCGATGCAGCTTCGCCTCTCCGATGCCACCTCTGAGACCCGCTTACTCCAGGCTGGGCCATTCCTTTGTGGGACTGGATTCCCAAGGGCCCCAACCCTGGGCTCCCTTCCCAGGACAGCTTTGGCACCAGGAGACGAGGAGTGGTTTTACACACCTGGAAATGGGGTGGCCGAAAGCCAGAACAAGTCCTTATCCAAATTTCAAATCCTGCCAAACCTGGTCTTGTTCCAGCTTTAATTCTGCTCTGGGTTATAATCACACCTGTACCTCCCTTGGCAGGGCCTGCCTGCTGGGGCAGTCGATACAGAGTCTCTACTACAGGGTGAAGTTCAGCAGCAGCAACTGAGCACCGCCCGTGTGCCAGGGACCGTGTCACCTCCAGGCGGTACAGCTCTCTGTCCTGAAGAGGTCCAGAGTCGGCTGGAAAGAACTCACAAAACGACCATCATAAAGAACGTGAGAGAATGAAAGAAATCGTATGACAGTCGTGTCCTGGGAGTCACAGTGGAAGGGGTGCTTGGACAAATGCACTCCCAAACTAGGGATTTGACATCACAGCACCTACCACTGGCTGGAACAGTTGCGTGCTAATGATCAACTCTGCTCCCCAGAGCTTCTCTCTTCCAGAAATCATCTGTTGCATTCATTTCGTTCACATCAGATACTAATCTTTGTCGCTCTATCTTCACTGTCAGAGCCCAGAATTCAGGGGTATGTTGGTTGGCCCCACAGGATACTTACAACAGTGTCTGGGATAGTCCAAGTGCACAGCCATGCTCCCTGCATGGGGAGATGCATGCTCAGAGACCCCAGGACTGCCTGGACTCCCTCTCTCCAGATGCAGCAAGGAAGGCTGCCCCACCTGCACGTGGGCTCCCTGCTTCCACCCTGCTTGCCCTGCTGGCCTGCCATGAAAGTGCCAAAGCAGCTTCTTCAAGTGCTTCCTTTTCTGGACCTGATCCAAGAAGCTTTTGGACACAGAGCAACTGTCACTCACTTTCTCAGCTTCCTCCTGAAGAGTGTCTATGTGTCAGAACACTGTTATTAGGGAATGTAAACATTGCAGACACACATGTACACATAAACACAACCTCCATTTGGTTGCTGTTCACTGTATATTGTTTGAGACGGACGTTGCTTTTCAGGGCACTCCATCCTTCTTTCCCCTGTAGGGTGTGGCGGATAGGATGTGTACAGGACGATGCAGGTGCTGGTTGGACAGAGGCCCAGAGGACATGGCCAGCATGATGGTGCAGTCTGGGCACACGGCCAAGGGCGAGGGGTGGTTGGAATCTGGCTTGTAGCTATGTCAGGGCTGCCCTCCTCCACTGTCCACTCCCCAAGTCAGGCAAGGGTGCCTTTGCAAATTCACACAAAGACACCTTCTAGATTAGTGGCTCTGGCTTGAGGATAGCAATTGCTGGACCCTCCCATTGAAATAGTTGCTGTGAAGAATCCCCAAGCTCTTTGCGCTCTGTCTTCCCTGTTTCACCTGAAAAACACAAACCAGGCCTCGCCCTTGACTTTTGAGGAACATGGAGGAATAAGAAAGGCAAACCCTGGAGGTGAGGCAGGTGCCACAGGCTAAGTAAAGAGGACAGCCGCAAGAACAGGGAGTAAGCAAGTCCTCCCAGGGGGATGGGGATGCTCCTTGTTTGGAAGAGCAGTGCATTCCTAGGACTGTGTAACATAAATACCACAGACTAGTGGCTTAAAAAACAAATGCATTTCCTCACAGTTCTGGATGCTGGAAATCCAAGATCATGTTGTCAGAAGGGTTGGGTTCCTTTGAGGCCCCTCCCCCTGGCTTGCAGGTGGCCACCCTCTTGCTGCCTCCTCACCTGGCTGTCCTCTGTGTGCCTGTGTCCTTAGTGTCTCCCTGAGTGTCCGATATCCTCCTCTCATAAGGACACAAGTCAAATTGGATTAGGAGATTTAGGAGCTGTGTACAGGTGCCTGGTTGACAAGGAGTGGACTTACGATGGTTAATTTTATGTGTAAACTTGATTGGGCCATCAGGTGCCCAGTTGTTTGGTCAAACATTATTCTAGATGTTTCTGGGAGGGTATTTCTGGATGAGGTTAACATTTGACTCTGTAGACTGAGGAAAGCACGTTGTACACCCTAATGTGGGGGGGCCTCCTCCAGTCAGTTGGAGGCCTGGATAGAACAAAGAGATCAAACTCCATCCATCACCTCCAGGGTAAAAGAGGATTCCCCCTGCCTGATAGCCTCCGAACTGAGACATTGATTTTTTTTCTTGCCCTTGGACTTGAACTAAAACAGCTCTTCCTGGGTCTCCAGCTTGTTGGCCTTCAGACTGGAACCACAGCATTGGCTCTCCTGGGTCTCCAGCTTGCCAGCTCCCCTGCAGATCTTGGGACTTGTCAGCATCCATAGTCATGTGAGCCAATTCCTTATAATTATATATGAGGGCCGGCCCGTGGCTCACTTGGGAGAGTGTGGTGCTGACAACCCCAAGTCAAGGGTTAAGATCTCCTTACTGGTCATCTTTTAAAATTAATTAATTAATTAAATTAAATAATAATTCTCATATATGCACACATGCACACACACATACACACATACCCTATTGGTTGTGTTTCTCTAGAGAACCCTGACATACTGATTTTGTTATGGGAAATTTAAAGGTCCCATCTCCAAATAAGAGAATACTTCTAAACATTTGTGGAAAAATAAAAGATAGCAGGACTCTTTCAATGAACTTTTTTTTTTTTTTTCTTTTTGGCAGCTGGCTGGTACAGGGATCCAAACCTGTGACCAAGTGAGCTAACCAGCCAGCCCCTCTGTGAGCTTTCTGAA